CACATAGTGCACATACTCATATACATGAAATAAAATGACCTGAAAAGATTTTTGAGGTCGGAGGCCAGGGTCTAGAGGTGGAAGCTGCAAAGCTAAGGCCAGGGCCTCTCCACATATCTGAACCCACCCATGCCAGACAAGCTCACACGTGCCCCTTTTCTTGCAGCCACAACAACAGCCCCATCTGTCTATCCACTGGCTCCTGCATGTGGAACCACTACTGGTTCCCCAGTGACTCTGGGATGCCTGGTCAAGGGCTATTTCCCCGAGCCGGCAACCATAACCTGGAACTCTGGATCCCTGACCAGCGGTGTGCACATCTTCCCATCTGTCCTGCATTCTGGTCTCTACTCCCTCAGCAGCTCAGTGACCGTGTCCTCCTGGCCCAGCCAGTCTGTCGTCTGCAACGTAGCCCACCCGGCCAGCAACACCAAGGTGGACAAGAAAATTGGTGAGAGACGAGCAGGGGAGGAGGGGTTCACTAGAGCTGCGGCTTGAGCCACCTAGACCAACCAGGCCGGGCGGCCATCGCCAGGGAGGGGACCTCAGTCCGGGACAGCAGGACATCCTGTCTCTGCCTCCCTCCCAAAGACCTCTGCCTATGACCGTCCAACCCAAGGAGTGATCCTCTGGGATAGATATCCATGTCCCTCACATCTCAACCCACCAAGAATCATTTCCAGGAGCAGCCCGGCCTAACCCAATGCTGGGGACAAACTCTCCCCTCCCTGGCTTGGTATATTCTCTCCTCCAAACCCCACTAACATCCATCCTTCTCTCTACAGAGCCCAGACGACGACCACCAACAAATCCAAGTGATGTGTGCGAGTGTCTACCACCACCTCCATGTCCTTGTCCACGTAAGTCAGTAGGCCTTGTGTGCCAGCCCCAGGAGGATGTCAAGTGTCCTGAGTGTCCCTACATTGGATGGTGACCCAGGTACTGACCCATTTCCATCTCTTCTCATCAGCTGATCTCACGGGTGGACCATCCGTCTTCATCTTCCCCCCAAAGCCCAAGGATGTGCTCATGGTCTCCCTGGCCCCCAAGATCACGTGTG